GAATATCATTATGGAACTGCAAGCCCCTATAATACAATCAGTTTAAAAACAAGTGATCAGTTTTAGTTGATAGTGACGGACCAAGGTCAGAGTGGCCAATGGCAAAATTGTTGCTGTCCACCCAGATCACCAAGGAATACTAAGAATAGGTTGGGTCCAGTGTCGAGGCACGACCACCCTAAAAACTTTAGAGAAATTAGTTCCTCTGGAATTAGCAGAACACGAGAGTTCTTCAGATGTAAATTTACCTCAGGTTCCTGAAGAAAATAACTCTACAAATACTAACACTCGTCCATCAATGATGGCAGCGCAACAATGTAAATTAAATCTTTAACAGGATTTTAATTCTGCATGAATGCAGATGATGATAGTCATCTGATGTTGAGATTTCATGAGTCTTCAGGAACAATTCGGTGGCCAAGTAACTTAACCATTACAAGTCATTGCGACCTTAATCATTGATTTTGCTGTAGATCTTACAGATTTCTTGATCTTAGATGACCATATTATTAATACTTTAAATCTTTCAATTGATGTTCCCATGATGACAGATTAATGTCATAGTTTCATACCTGTTTCACAGATACGGGACATCTGTCATGTGCACACTAACCAACAAACTTACTAACCTGTTCTGAATTTATATCTTCGGGGGAGAGAGTCAGGTACGTCAGTACTGAATCATGAAATGCGACCCGTGTTTTCTCGCCCCCGGAGTTATGTTGGAAATTTCCAGCTCCCAAATACTGACAACTTGTGCGATAAAAGGTATTTATTGTTCTAGGCATTATAATTCACTAATACTACTAACCAGTTGTGTAGCAATATTAAATCTTATTAATCTGAGGCGTAGTAACAACATATTCTTCCTAGAATTCATGGCTGCGATTGCGTCACCCGCCCAGCTCCTGAAATTAAATTACATATATTTATAAATTGAATTAAATCCAGTCTAACCTTGTAGAATTTATTAAAGAATATAGATTGGCAATTGATTTTGTTCTATTTAGCAAATTATATAGCCATTTATGGGAAAGAGTTTTATACAGCTGTAATCAGCTGATCCAGTAAACAAAGTAATGAACTAAAATTTCCACTATGAATATAAATTTTCCATCTAACGTCATTTAGGTTAAATGATTTGCACAGCGAGGGAACAATCTGCTGTTACCTAAAGTACGTTATTGTGACATAAAATAACGTCAGATATGTTTCCATCAATTCGGAAATTAGAATAAAATATTGCAAATTATTAACTATGTTTCCAACATCCAGCGCTAGGGGGCACGCGGAACAGTGGCCAGAGACTTGACAGAGAGACGCCATAACGGTTTGGTGCCCTGAAGCTGATCATTATTATCGTTTAAATTTAGGAGCATCCGTGCATTAACGGACTTCAGACCAATTCGAGAGTTTCAACTTATTACGGACACCGCGTCTGGCAAGGCTGAGTACCCTTAATATATTACTTTGGCCATTATTCTATATTTATGTAGGGGGGGGGCCTTGTCGTTACGGCTCATACAAACCTAATAACTCCCGTGAATGGAATTCTTATGCCCAATCCACTCTAATTTCATGAGTGAACGCATATATATATATTATTAGGTGGAAATTACATGTTATTAATATTTCAGCGTGGAGCTAGCTACAAGGGAAACGTAATTCAACCAGTGGAATCACGTGTCGCCAGAGATAACAGTCATTGACAGGATTAGACGGGTCATAGAGCTGCTGGACGTATTCTCCGTTCAGCTTTGGCAGCTAAGCTTCCAAATGTTTCGATTTAGTAGTTAGCATACTAACCCATGTATTAATTATTTCTGATTTATTCATGAAAATATTATTTCTATATTATACGTAGACTAACATTATAGAACTTAGCCCCCCAAAAGATGTGTAAGGGAATTACTCAACTTTAAATGAAAGTCTTTAAAGTCCACTTCTCCAAATTCATTTTGAATCAATTATTAAATTTATTATTATAAGATCCATAGGTCACAGGTTTTAGAGGCCATAAAATTTTATATGGTCCTCATGAATTTATGAATGATATTATAAGGAGTAAAATCCCTCACAGTGCCTCCCATATGTCCCTTCGTCCTGGTATCCCACGCGTATTCTCTTGTTTTGATTTGAGACATGTGTCTCCTCGTCCTGGTCCTGATCATATATTTTACCGTATTGGTTATTCCTATGTGTCTCATAGACCTGGTACCTCCCATGTGTCTCATAGACCTGGTACCTCCCATGTGTCTCATAGACCGGGTACCTCCCATGTGTCGCATAGACCTGGTACCTCTCATGTGCCTCATAGACCTGGTACCTCCCATGTGTCTCATAGACCTGGTACCTTCCATTTGTCTCATAGACCGGGTACCTCCCGTGTGTCTCATAGACCTGATACCTCTCATGTGCCTCATAGACCTGGTACCTCCCATGTGTCTCATAGACCTGGTACCTCCCATGTGTCTCATAGACCTACTACCTCCCATGTTTCTCATAGACTTGGTACCTCCCATGTGCCTCATAGACCTACAACCTCCCATGTGCCTCATAGACCTGCTACTTCCCATGTGCTACATAGACCTGGTACCTCCCATGTGCCTCATAGACCTGGTACCTCCCATGTGCCTCATAGACCTGGTACTTCTCATGTGCCTCATAGACTTTGTAACTCCCATGTGGCTCATAGACCTGTTTCCTCCCATGTGTCTCATAGAATTGATACCTCCCACGTGCCTCATAGACTTGGTACCTCCCATGTGGCTCATAGACCAGGTACCTTCAATGTGCCTCATAGACCAGGAATCTCTCATGTACCTCATAGACCTGGTACCTCCCATTTGTCTCATAGACTTGGCACCTCCCATGTGTCTCATACACCTGGTACCTCCCATGTGTCTCATAGACCTGGTACCTCACATGTGTCTCATAGACCTGGTGCCTCCCATGTGTCTCATAGACCTGGTACCTCCCATCTGTCTCATAGACCTGGTACCTCCCATGTGTCTCATAGACCTGGTACCTCCCATGTGTCTTATAGACCTGGTACCTCTCATGAGCCTCATAGACCTGGTACCTCCCATGTGCCTCATAGACCTGGTACCTCCCATGTGTCTCATAGACTTGGTACCTCTCATGTGCCTCATAGACCTGGTACCTCCCATGTGTATCATAGACCTGGTACCACCCATGTGTCTCATAGACCTGGTACCTCTCATGAGCCTCATACACCTGGTACCTCCCATGTGCCTCATAGACCTGGTACCTCCCATGTGTCTCATAGACTTGGTACCTCTCATGTGCCTCATAGACCTGGTACCTCCCATGTGTCTCATAGACCTGGTACCTCTCATGCGCCTCATAGACCTGGTACCTCCCATGTGCCTCATAGACCTACTACCTCCCATGTGCCTCATAGACCTGCTACTTCCTATGTGCTACATAGACCTGGTACCTCCCATGTGCTTCATAGACCTGGTACCTCCCATGTGCCTCATAGACCTGGTACTTCTCATGTGCCTCATAGACTTGGTAACTCCCATGTGGCTCATAGACCTGTTTCCTCCCATGTGTCTCATAGAATTAATACCTCCCATGTGCCTCATAGACTTGGTACCTCCCATGTGGCTCATAGACCAAGTACCTTCAATGTGCCTCATAGACCTGGTATCTCTCATGTACCTCATAGACCTGGTACCTCCCATGTGTCTCATAGACTTGGTACCTCCCATGTGTCTCATAGACCTGGTACCTCCCATGTGTCTCATAGACCTGGTACCTCCCATGTGTCTCATAGACCTACTACCTCTCATGTGCCTCATAGACCTACTACCTCTCATGTGCCTCATAGACCTGGTACCTCCCATGTGCCTCATAGACCTACTTCCTCCCATGTGCCTCATAGACATACTTCCTCCCATGTGTCTCATAGACCTGGTACCTCCCATGTGCCTCATAGACCTGGTACCTCCCATGTGCCTCATAGACCTGGTGCCTCATTGACCTGCTACCTGCCATGTGCCTCATAGACCTGCTACCTCCCATGTGCCTCATAGGCCTGCTACTTCTCATGTGCCACATCGACCTGGTACCTCCCATGTGCCTCATAGACCTGGTACCTCCCATGTGCCTCATAGACCTGGTGCCTCATTGACCTGCTACCTCCCATGTGCCTCATAGACCTGCTACCTCCCATGTGCCTCATAGACCTGGTGCCTCATTGACCTGCTACCTCCCATGTGCCTCATAGACCTGCTACCTCCCATGTGCCTCATAGACCTGCTACTTCTCATGTGCCACATAGACCTGGTACCTCCCATGTGCCTCATAGACCTGGTACCTCCCATGTGCCTCATAGACCTGGTACTTCTCATGTGCCTCATAGACTTGGTACCTCTCATGTGGCTCATAGACCTGGTACCTCCCATGTGTCTCATAGACCTGGTACTTCTCATGTGCCTCATAGACTTGGTACCTCTCATGTGGCTCATAGACCTGGTACCTCTCATGTGCCTCATAGACCTGATACTTATCATGTGCCTCATAGACTTTGTACCTCTCATGTGGCTCATAGACCTGTTTCCTCTCATGTGTCTCATAGACTTGATACCTCCCATGTGCCTCATAGACCTGGTACCTCCCATGTGCCTCATAGACCTGGTACCTCCCAAGTGTCTCATAGACCTGGTACCTCCCATGTGTCTCATAGACCTACTACCTCCCATGTTTCTCATAGACTTGGTACCTCCCTTGTGTCTCATAGACTTGGTACCTCCCATGTGTTTCTTAGACCTGGTACCTCCCATGTGCCTCTTAGACCTGGTACCTCCCATGTGCCTCATAGACCTGCTACTTCTCATGTGCTACATAGACCTGGTACCTCCCATGTGCCTCATAGATCTGGTACCTCCCCATGTGCCTCATAGACCTGGTACCTCCCATGTGCCTCATAGATCTGGTACCTCCCCATGTGCCTCATAGACCTGGTACCTCTCATGTGTCTCATAGACCTGGTACCTCTCATGCGCCTCATAGACCTGGTACCTCCCATGTGCCTCATAGGTCTACTACCTCCCATGTGCCTCATAGACCTGCTACTTCCCATGTGCTACATAGAACTGGTACCTCCCATGTGCCTCATAGACCTGATACCTCCCATGTGCCTCATAGACCTGGTACTTCTCATGTGCCTTATAGACTTGGTATCTCCCATGTGGCTCATAGACCTGGTACCTCCCATGTGTCTCATAGACTTGGTACCTCCCATGTGTCTCATAGACTTGGTACCTCCCATGTGTCTCATAGACCTGATACCTCCCATGTGGCTCATAGACCTGGTACCTCCCATGTGTCTCATAGACCTACTACCTCCCATGTGCCTCATAGACCTGGTACCTCCCATGTGCCTCATAGACCTACTTCCTCCCATGTGTCTCATAGACCTGGTACCTCCCATGTGCCTCATAGACCTGGTGCCTCATAGACCTGGTGCCTCCCATGTGCCTCATAGACCTGCTACCTCCCATGTGCCTCATAGACCTGCTACTTCCCATGTGCTACATAGACCTGGTACCTCCCATGTGCCTCACAGTCCTGGTACCTCCCATGTGCCTCATAGACCTGGTACTTCTCATGTGCCTCATAGACTTGGTACCTCTCATGTGGCTCATTGACCTGGTACCTCCCATGTGCCTCATAGATCTGGTACTTCTCATGTGCCTCATAGACTTGGTACCTCTTATGTGGCTCATAGACCTGGTACCTCTCAAGTGTCTCATAGACCTGATACTTCCCATGTGTCTCATAGACTTACTACTTCCCATGTGTCTCATAGACTTAGTACCTCTCATGTGTCTCATACACTTGGTACCTCCCATGGGTTTCTTAGACCTTGTACCTCCCATGTGCCTCTTAGACCTGGTACCTCCCATGTGCCTCATAGACCTGGTACTTCTCATGTGCCTCATAGACTTGGTACCTCTCATGTGGCTCATAGACCTGGTACCTCCCATTTGTCTCATAGACCTGGTACTTCTCATGTGCCTCATAGACCTGCTATTTCTCATGTGCTACATAGACCTGGTACCTCCCATGTGCCTCATAGACCTGGTACCTCCCATGTGTCTCATAGACCTGGTACTTCCCATGTGTTTCATAGACCTGGTACCTCCCATGTGTCTCATAGACCTGCTACCTCCCATGTGCCTCATAGACCTACTTCCTCCCATGTGCCTCATAGACCTACTTCCTCCCATGTGTCTCATAGACCTGGTACCTCCCATGTGCCTCATAGACCTGGTACCTCCCATGTGCCTCATAGACCTGGTGCCTCATTGACCTGCTACCTCCCATGTGCCTCATAGACCTGCTACCTCCCATGTGCCTCATAGGCCTGCTACTTCTCATGTGCCACATAGACCTGGTACCTCCCATGTGCCTCATAGACCTGGTACCTCCCATGTGCCTCATAGACCTGGTGCCTCATTGACCTGCTACCTCCCATGTGCCTCATAGACCTGCTACCTCCCATGTGCCTCATAGACCTGCTACTTCTCATGTGCCACATAGACCTGGTACCTCCCATGTGCCTCATAGACCTGGTACCTCCCATGTGCCTCATAGACCTGGTACTTCTCATGTGCCTCATAGACTTGGTACCTCTCATGTGGCTCATAGACCTGGTACCTCCCATGTGTCTTATAGACCTGGTACTTCTCATGTGCCTCATAGACTTGGTACCTCTCATGTGGCTCATAGACCTGGTACCTCTCATGTGCCTCATAGACCTGATACTTATCATGTGCCTCATAGACTTTGTACCTCTCATGTGGCTCATAGACCTGTTTCCTCTCATGTGTCTCATAGACTTGATACCTCCCATGTGCCTCATAGACCTGGTACCTCCCATGTGCCTCATAGACCTGGTACCTCCCAAGTGTCTCATAGACCTGGTACCTCCCATGTGTCTCATAGACCTACTACCTCCCATGTTTCTCATAGACTTGGTACCTCCCTTGTGTCTCATAGACTTGGTACCTCCCATGTGTTTCTTAGACCTGGTACCTCCCATGTGCCTCTTAGACCTGGTTTCTCCCATGTGCCTCATAGACCTGCTACTTCTCATGTGCTACATAGACCTGGTACCTCCCATGTGCCTCATAGATCTGGTACCTCCCCATGTGCCTCATAGACCTGGTACCTCCCATGTGCCTCATAGATCTGGTACCTCCCCATGTGCCTCATAGACCTGGTACCTCTCATGTGTCTCATAGACCTGGTACCTCTCATGCGCCTCATAGACCTGGTACCTCCCATGTGCCTCATAGGTCTACTACCTCCCATGTGCCTCATAGACCTGCTACTTCCCATGTGCTACATAGAACTGGTACCTCCCATGTGCCTCATAGACCTGATACCTCCCATGTGCCTCATAGACCTGGTACTTCTCATGTGCCTTATAGACTTGGTATCTCCCATGTGGCTCATAGACCTGTTTCCTCCCATGTGTCTCATAGACTTGATACCTCCCATGTGCCTCATAGACTTGGTACCTTCCATGTGGCTCATAGACCAGGTACCTTCCATGTGCCTCATAGACCTGGTACCTCGCATGTACCTCATAGACCTGGTACCTCCCATGTGTCTCATAGACTTGGTACCTCCCATGTGTCTCATAGACTTGGTACCTCCCATGTGTCTCATAGACCTGATACCTCCCATGTGGCTCATAGACCTGGTACCTCCCATGTGTCTCATAGACCTACTACCTCCCATGTGCCTCATAGACCTGGTACCTCCCATGTGCCTCATAGACCTACTTCCTCCCATGTGTCTCATAGACCTGGTACCTCCCATGTGCCTCATAGACCTGGTGCCTCATAGACCTGGTGCCTCCCATGTGCCTCATAGACCTGGTGCCTCCCATGTGCCTCATAGACCTGCTACCTCCCATGTGCCTCATAGACCTGCTACTTCCCATGTGCTACATAGACCTGGTACCTCCCATGTGCCTCATAGTCCTGGTACCTCCCATGTGCCTCATAGACCTGGTACTTCTCATGTGCCTCATAGACTTGGTACCTCTCATGTGGCTCATAGACCTGGTACCTCCCATTTGTCTCATAGACCTGGTACTTCTCATGTGCCTCATAGACTTGGTACCTCTCATGTGGCTCATTGACCTGGTACCTCCCATGTGCCTCATAGATCTGGTACTTCTCATGTGCCTCATAGACTTGGTACCTCTCATGTGGCTCATAGACCTGGTACCTCTCAAGTGTCTCATAGACCTGATACTTCCCATGTGTCTCATAGACTTACTACTTCCCATATGTCTCATAGACTTGGTACCTCTCATGTGTCTCATACACTTGGTACCTCCCATGGGTTTCTTAGACCTTGTACCTCCCATGTGCCTCTTAGACCTGGTACCTCCCATGTGCCTCATAGACCTGGTACTTCTCATGTGCCTCATAGACTTGGTACCTCTCATGTGGCTCATAGACCTGGTACCTCCCATTTGTCTCATAGACCTGGTACTTCTCATGTGCCTCATAGACCTGCTATTTCTCATGTGCTACATAGACCTGGTACCTCCCATGTGCCTCATAGACCTGGTACCTCCCATGTGTCTCATAGACCTGGTACTTCCCATGTGTTTCATAGACCTGGTACCTCCCATGTGTCTCATAGACCTGCTACCTCCCATGTGCCTCATAGATCCGGTACCTCCCATGTGCTTCATAAAGACTTTGTCCGACCCATTTGACCCTTTTAAATTTCGTGTGTCCCCTCGTTCGTGTTCTACCGTTCTGGTTCATGTTATGTGCCCCTCATTTTTGCTCCTCTCATGTGTATCATCTTGACTACTTAGATACCCATGAGGATTGTAAACGTCAGGGTCATGTCTACTATGTTACGTTTTACCTTCATTGATGTTAGCCAACGTGCTCACACTCATGCATTTTATCTCATAGTTTGCACGTGGGGAAATCATCGTTTGTACGTGGGGAACTCATGACTTGCACGTGGGGAACTCATGACTTGCACGTGGGGAACTCATCGTTTGTACGTGGGGAACTCATGGCTTGCACGTGGGAAACTCATGGCTTGCACGTGGGGAACTCTTGGCTTGCACGTGGGGAACTCGTGGCTTGCACGTGGGGAACTCATGGTTTGCACGTGGGGAACTCATGGCTTGCACGTGGGGAACTCATGGCTTGCACGTGGGGAACTCGTGGCTTGCACGTGGGGAACTGATGGCTTGCACGGGGAAACTCGTGGCTTACACGTGGGGAACTCATGGCTTGCACGTGAGGAACTCATGGCTTGCACGTGGGGAACTCTTGGCTTGCACGTGGGGAACTCATGGCTTGCACGTGGGGAACTCATGGCTTGCACGTGGGGAACTCATGGCTTGCACGTGGGGAACTCATGGCTTGCACGTGGGGAACTCGTGGCTTGCACGTGGGGAACTCTTGGCTTGCACGTGGGGAACTCATGGCTTGCACGTGGGGAACTCATGGCTTGCACGTGGGGAACTCTTGGCTTGCACGTGGGGAACTCATGGCTTGCGCGTGGGGAACTCTTGGCTTGCACGTGGGGAACTCATGGCTTGCACGTGGGGAACTCTTGGCTTGCACGTGGGGAACTCATGGCTTGCACGTGGGGAACTCATGGCTTGCACGTGGGGAACTCATGACTTGAACGTGGGGAACTCATGGCTTGCACGTGGGGAACTCATGGCTTGCACGTGGGGAACTCATGACTTGCACGTGGGGAACTCATGGCTTGCACGTGGGGAACTCATGACTTGCACGTGGGGAACTCATGACTTGCACGTGGGGAACTCATGACTTGCACGTGGGGAACTCATGGCTTGCACGTGGGGAACTCATGGCTTGCACGTGGGGAACTCATGACTTGCACGTGGGGAACTCATGGCTTGCACGTGGGGAACTCATGACTTGCACGTGGGGAACTCATGACTTGCACGTGGGGAACTCATGACTTGCACGTGGGGAACTCATGACTTGCACGTGGGGAACTCATGACTTGCACGTGGGGAACTCATGACTTGCACGTGGGGAACTCATGACTTGCACGTGGGGAACTCATGGCCTGCAATCACCTGATAGCAAACCTTTGCAAAATATAATTCGAGATTTCTTCCCTGTTTGAAGCAAGGGGCCAATACTCCATACTAATTCTCCATACTTAGAAGTGGTGTAAAATACGTTATTTATAGCATTTTGTTAGCTCTTTGTTCACATTCCTGAGTGTAGTATATATAATATGGTTCTAGTGTATTACAGCGGTAGAAAGAGGTATCCCCACGCTGCAATTAAGTTTTAAATTACAATGAACTACCAAATTCATATCTTTTTTCATCAGCGCTAAACAACCGCATCCGTTCCATGCACGTCAACTATAGCCCAACCCTTCAAATGTATTTAAATTTTAGGTAAATTATTTTTGTAATTCAGTTTTGGCGCAGGACGAAGGTAGAGTAATATGTCAACCAAGACTTTTATATGATCTGGGAAGATAGGTTTACATTGAAGGAACACAGATGACGTGATGTTCCCCCAGAACGATTCATCAGGTTGAAGCCCGCAGCTGGCTGAGAGTCTTGTGTTATAACTTCCGTTTTCTGGGGGGCCACGAGATTGGG